ATCAAATAAGTACACCCAGTTTTAGCTGTAGGTTACGACATTTCAGTTCACTCAGGAAGAAATCATGTTTAAAATATGATTCAAGATATCACGCACTGCTAGTAAGTTCCTGCACTGTATCTAGCGCTTCTGGTTGAAGTTTGGTATGCAATTTTGCGCGACCCGAGCGAGCCAAAGTACTAATGACCAAATTAGACGGCACTGTAATGCCGCCGAAGCATACCATAAAGGTGCCCAGATTAAGTCCAAAATCCGGTGATACTTTTAAGCTGTTAGGGTTATGTTAGTGAACATCTCTCAGGCATCCTGTCACGAGACCCAAGAGGAGAATTAAATGGGCGAGTCATCAAATTTGGCAGGAAGTGACAAAGAAGAATTTTTTTACTTTAATTTTGACAAGTGACCAAGGTTTTCTTCCCCTTGCAGTTCTTCGATAGCGTGGTAAAGAAATGTTTTTTCTCTTTTTAAGACTAGAAAACATCAACTAAATCCCACAACGCGTGTGCGTCACAAAAGATAAACAAACACAATAAACAAAAGAAAGAAACAGACACACATAAAGTAAGACCGAAAGAGTAACATGACTTATAATGTCAAAAGCCTCACATGTATTAAATTTATTAAGAATTATGTCACGCAATATCCAAGTTATCCCTGAATATCAGCGAAAAACTTTCCACACTGTACCTCATAAGCCGACTTTTACCTGTTTTTATTGTGAAACTTATGAAATTGAAAATTGCTTGTACGTTTTATAAAATTGAGGTCACCTGGCTTTACATCTCCTGTTAATCTGTCTAAGAATATCGCGAGGAGCAAATCTGAACTAAATTTCTGATTTTATCTCCAGTCACCATTTGGCCGTGGATGAACAAGCTACTTGCATTTTTTCAGCGAAATCTATGTTCTGATTGGCTTCCGAGACAGGTACGGACCGGTTCATCTTGCCCGTTCGGGATTGCCTGCTATGACCCCGCGAAAGAAAAAGAGAAATAGGTGAAACGAATAACAAAGAACCTAACTTTTGGTAGATTTCTCCAATGGAGTCGTAAAAAGTGGCCAAACAAAGTCAAAACAAAGTCAAAACAAAGAAAACGTTAATGACTCTCGTGGGTTTATCGCCAATCCTGTTGGCTTTTATTGACCAATCTTGTTCGGTCAAGAAGACTGGGTATTAGCCTCGTTCTTTTTGGCCTTTTTATGGACCTCGATTTCGTCTCGGTCCATAAAAACGCAAAAAAACAAACAAATCGGCAAACATCTAGCCATAAAGGAGGTACGTTTCTAAAGAAACTGTGGTCATTCGCTCTGACGAAGGGTTAACGCTCGAAACGTCCGCTTTGTAAACTCTTCACGGTGGCAAATTTACGTCATCAACTCAGTTTAAAATTATCCACCCACGTTGATGTCACGCTTGGTCAATATCACATATTTCCAGCATATTGGAATAGAAATTTTGAAAGGTTAAGCTGTTATTTGGAATATTTAAACGCGGTGGGAAGTACAAAAAACAATGAATATAATTTCTAATGGTGGAGATGAAATCACATGGGTTCTGAATCGTATTTCTCATTTGATACTTTCATGGTTTCTAAATTCTATACCATTAATGACTGACCCACGAGCCTGAATCATCCCCCAACGACAAAATAAGTTCGAATTTAAAGACCTTAACAGGCTCTGAGAAATTCCTCATTTCATTAGTAAGGAGAGCATCTTACTGGGTTCCAGAGCAGCTCATTTACAGTTTGAAAAGACAAGTTCAATTGTTTCAGTTATTTGTGGTAAAAGAAACAATTGAATTAGCATTTTATGACCTCTTAAAGGTTAAAGAGTTCATTTTACTACTTTGTACTATAGCTGTTTGCATAGATTTCATATACACCCATGATTTCCCCACCCTTGACACAATGAAAAACCTGCAAACTTTCAATACCATTGTCTTAAAAGAAATAATTTGCGGGTGTAGCTTGTAGACGAGATTCCATTTGAATTTGGCACCGAATCCCTCAGAGTTTGACCAGTGTAGCCGTTTTCGTCAAATCACCAAACATTTGAACACCTTGTCAGGATTTAAGATGCTTTCGTTTAAAAATCCTCAAAGTGATTCTGTCCAAACAAAAGACTTTGTACAAAAGGAAGTGTAAGCAGTCAAGCTTCAAAATGCGACGTGAACTTTGGTCTCTTCTAATCGCTTTTCTTCAATTGATGTCAAGTACTAGGTCAAATTTTATATCGGTTTCGCAGCATGGTCCACTCATCCTCAGGGGCACCGAATACTGTCGTTGCAATAGTAGTTTAAATTTGTTTCTCTTTGTTTGTTTTGTTTTGTCTTTGTTTTTGTTTTATTTGCTGGTTTTTGTTTTTGTTTGTCTGTCGATTTTTGGTTTTCAATCCATCAGACGTTAGACACAGTAGGAAGGCAACCCTTCCCTGTTGAACTTTTCTAAACCTTGACCTGGTATACCATCTGACTTTGTCTCGAATAAGTCTTAGTGATCAATTAAATTGTTGAAATTTCGTTTCCTTTCGTCAGGTGTTTGAAGTCAAACGCCAGATGAGGTCTGTGTCCGATACTGGCTCCCAGTCCCCTTCAGCTGCGTACTCAAACGGCAGCGCAATCCCCGCCCTGGATCATGAAAGAAATGACAACGCTGTAGTAGTGTAGCCCAGGCTCAAATGTGCTGTTTTGCAATGTGTTCAGTAAGACAAAAGCGTCGCTGTATTTGTGAGGGAGATTGTCTCTTACTTCAATAGGCCTTTCATCTCTGGAATATGAAACAGCTTTCGCTGTCAGTTTTTGTCCAGCTGACTGACCGTAGTTCTCAAAATGCTAATAATGTGATCGTTGTAATCGTGAACCGTGTCGAGTCTTGCGTGGTAATGTATACCGTAGACTTGACGCTGTTATAATTGTCTCGTTTTGTTTTCGTTCTTGTTTGTCAGGGTTGTTGTATAGTTGTATGTTTGAGGCAGTTTGAAAAGCCAAACAAAACAAAAACATAGGCAACAGGAGAAAAAACAGGAAATATAAAATATGTTTTACCAAAGCCGGGCTTATTTCAACCTTGCTTTCCGATAATTTTTCACTCCCAAAATTTCCAAGGTCTCTCCTCCGCAAGTTAATAAAACCAACGTTACGTGACGGACTTAGCACGAGCCAAGAGTGTAGCGTGACAAGTTTAGAACCGACGATGAGCGGACCACCTGTTTTGGCAAGGAGTTAATATGAAGTAGGAAGCTGTCAGGTGATTTAGTTCGTGAACCGGGCAGGTCTCTCAATTAGTGTAATTTAATGTACTAATTGTAAATAATTATGTAATTACGAGAACCCTGTGTTTCTTAAAAGGAGAAGTTTGATTGGTATTCGATAGCAAATCGTAACAAATAAAGAATCGCTTTCCCTCGATTTTTGTACAGAATTTTGCACTTTGAAGTGTTTCTCCTTCGCCCGCATTTTCTTTCAACTGCATTGAATAAGAGCCTGGAATGGGAATGTTTTTGCATCAGCCTCTCTAAATTTTAGACCAAAAAAACGAATATTTTCAAGGTTGTCACACTTTTTTATTTCCAAGGGCTACCAATACAAGCAAGCGGTTTGAAATCAAAGATATAGTTTTCGAAGGTTATCGATCTGATCTTGCTACAGCAGTGTAATGATCATCCGACCGTGACCAGCTGCATTATAACAACATTCACTCTGCTGATCTTTACCAACATTATAGGAGCCTCCCCCACCCCCACAGGAATCATATTCATTATTTCCGCTGCTCCCCCCAGAGTACCCTCCTCCTCCTCCGGCGCCTCCTGATTGTCCATATGAACCGCCACCACCTCCAAAACCACCCACAATATTGTTAAATTTGGCTCTTCCACCCACCCCTCCCTGAAGGAAACCTTTGCCACCTTCTCCACCATCTCCCATGGTGCCACCAAACATCTTGGAACTTCTTCCACTGGAGTAAAAACCGCCCCCGCCGCCACCTGTTATTAAAGTCATAACAAGAATGAAATAAAGAAAAAAAAAAAAGGAAACAAATAAATTAATAATAATTTCTCTTCACAATCAACCGGAGAAAGTATTTTTGAACCAAAAATGCAGTTGTTATCAAATACACTTTATGGAAGAGGTGGGCCAGAGGAAAGGAAGGGAAATACATCATAATATTATTATCACCAAATCTCCTTTAATATATGCTAAACTCAATTTTCCGATGCAAAAGGACATTCTTTAAATGCTTGTTTTCATGTGCTGAACCATTCTTGCAACTATCAACACAAACTTTTTCAAATTAAGCTAAATTATCCTAAAACTCCTCTTATTAATTCCACCTTTCGATGTATTTTATGTTTTTTAGAAAGACCCCCGAGTTCAAGTTGATAAGACTTACGTTAAAACCTTTTTCAAAAAAAAAAAGATAAGAAAGCATAAAATGAAAACAAGAAAATATCAAATTTACCATACATACATATATATATATATATATATATATATATATATATATAGGAAGTCTGTGTATTGATTTTTCCATTTTACAGTGCTCGACACTTAGGAGTAGAGCGTGATATACGTTGCGATAGGGGGAAGGATCTTTGGTTACTATTTAGAAGCAATTAGCAAGATCCCATTTGACTTTGTACATTTCTAGCGTATGAGAAGGCATAGCAATTTCAGCGTACAAAGCTGAAAAGGGTTACGTGATTGTAGTGCAACCTTACCAGAATTATCATTATCAGCAGTCTGTGCACCATGTCCATTGCTCCCCCCTGACCATGATCTGTATCCAGGATTCCCTGATGTGCTTACACTGGCGTCGCATCCAGGCTGCCTTGAAAGTAATGTATCCACGCCCCCACCACCTCCAGCTATTGTTAAGGGTGTACTACCACCTCTAACGACAAATGTCCCTCCACCACCTCCAGTAGCGAACGGAAACTTTGGACTGTTGTTGATCGTTCCTTCTTGACCAACAAGTATGTGAATAATCTCACCTTTGGATAAACTGAAACTTCCAACCATTCTTGCACCTCTTCCTCTGTAACTAGAGGTGCTGCTCTTTTTGTCCTTGGTCTTACCGTACCCTCCAGCTGCTCCTATTGCTTCTACTCTGTATTCACCAGTGTACGGCACAGTCCATTGTTGAATACCGCTCGACAATTTCACTTGTCCGTCGTGATCCTGACCTGTATAGTAACTGCCCAGCGTTGCTGGACCAAATCTTCCGCTCGCACCAAGATTTGTAAAGACGGCCCTAAAGGATGCTTTATCAACATAAAATAGCGTATAATGTTTAGAATTGAATGATTCTGAGTCGCGTAAGTAATTGATAAAAGTTTGTTGTGCTAATTTACTCTTGATGAAAGAAATAAGTTTCGGGAGGAACCCATTACTTGGAGTAATTACTTGGAGTAATTGGCTCCTGGTTTCGAGGACTAAAGTTTCAAATTGAATGCAGGGCTAGACTTTGCAACCGTCAGTCGCAAAAGGAGAATTCAATATGGTTAAACAATTTCCCTTTGGCAGTCGAAAGGATTACTTGGTAATTTGGTAACTGGTGAATTTGCCCCATTGGAAGTTCGCCCCCAAACGTAAGACAAGTTCGCTCCACCCTCACCAGTTCGCCCCAAAATATTCCGACTCGTTCACCCAACCAAAGAGCGTATTAATTTCTTACAATGAGCAAAACAACGTTTTTTCAGTCATCAATATGAACAAAGATGTCACTTTCAACTTAACTCAGTCAAGTGGTTTGCCTCGTGTGCGTCTAAGTGGATATTAACTTACAACTATATAGTGTCTGCCAATAGTACTTTTATATAATGCTTTGGAAGTTTTTCGGTCGGTGAAAAGTTCGAAGGTAAGACGACATCGCTAGTTCTCAAAAATTGCCACGAACAAAATCGTCCCCAGACATACCTGTGTGTATATAATTTAAGGTTGTCAAAGCATTAACAGATCCCAGCTTGTTGGACGCGGTACATTGGTACGTGCCAGAATCTTTAGGATCAAAGTCTGATATATGTAGAGTTCCATTGCAGACACTTGTTCGACCCTGTGGTAACGGGACAAGTCCTCTTGACCAAACTATTTTTGGCGAAGGAAAACCAAACGCTTGGCAAGAAGCAGATGCGTTTGTACCTCTATTGACTGTAATAACTCTGTTTGGAGTTTTAGTGAATCGTGGAGGAACTGAGGAACATAAAGAAAAAACATTTTTTTATCTAAGTTCACTTAACAATTCTCAAAAATCTTGGCTCACTTTTTTTAAAACAAAGGAAAAAGATACAAACAAAAACTGCTTTTCTATGCTTTCCAACCATTCATATTCGAAACTGTGATCACCAATAAGCTTTTCTCCCTTACCAGGGTCAAGTAGTTGCTTAGAGGACTAATTCGAGCCTCATGATATATTATTATTCCGACTTGCATCTTCCTCTATCTACGTTTAAAATTGATTTAGTAAGCATTCCGAATTTTCATCTGAAATCCAGGTATAAAGTTCAGGTCAAATATTATTTTATTCGTTGGAAAGAGTTTTAGAAGACCTACGTCAGTAAAATTAAAAGCTTAAGACAAAAGAAAAAATTATAATTGCAGTAATGACGAGAGAAAAAATACAGAATATCGACCATGAATAAAGACCTTTAGTATTTTCATCATTAGAGTAATTATTATTATCTTTATTGTTGGTATTATTATAAAAATAATTATCATAGTGATTATCATTGGTATTTATCATAGATTTCATTATCATTATCATTTTGCTATTATCAAACTTACTATCATAATAAATAAAGAGTTACGGTGATTCTTGGTATTGCACTGTGCATCCTGTACTGCGCACAAAATCACGCAATCAGGCGAATAAGCGCACGCGCTTTCCGAGAGAATAGTATTGTTTTTCAATCAATGGACCAGGTAAAGAGGTGTGATGGTCTTATGCTCTTAAAAGAGCACAGTGAACTATATTTTTTATTGCATGGTTTTGGTGTACAAATTATCCCCTTTAAATTAGAAAATCTAAAGAAAAAATTCATCGAAAGGAAACAGAGATAAAAAAATGCAGCAGATGCAGCTAAAAACGTGCACGAAGCCCGTTACCCGCTAATGCAAATTATAACCTTGAAAACAACGACTCAAGGAACGTTTGGAGCAGATGTCGTGATTTTTCCTTAAATCATACATCAAAATGTTTCAAACGCTCGAAACGTTCTACTTATCTTTTACTTATATTTTATTTCCGATAAAATAACTTGCGTGATTAGTGCCAGTACAGGTATAAATGAGGTAAGTTTGGCCCATCGTATCTCTTAAAGAAGCATGGTGACTTATCGTTTTCAATGTATTTTTTTGAAACAGACATGGGTAGGAAACATTTAGGGGAAGTTAAAAAAAATTCCTGAGTAACTTTTTTTCTGAGGAATCACCTTAGTTGAAGTCTTTCCGTGAAGATTTACATCAGCTAAGATAAGAAATCAAAGAAAAACTCATTAGGGTCACAACTGCTACCAATAAAAAACTCTACTCTCCAAAGTATGCTTACCTTCGACAAAGAGCTTCACCTGCTTTTGCACCTCACCCAATATGCTCTTGGCCGTGCAAACGTAATCTCCCGAGTCATTATACGTAGCTTTTCTGATTTCCAACTTATTATGTGGGCTTGAAATTGGTTCCGTATCACCTGTTCTACTCCAGGTGACTGTAGGCGTTGGATTCCCATCAGCCGAGCAATAAAACGTGGCAGTTTGGTTTTCAGTAACAGTGTCTGAAGTCGGTGATACAGTCACCTTTGGTGCAGATAAGGACTCGCCTGGTTCACCTTTAGCTCCTGGTTGTCCAGGTGTCCCTGGGTTCCCTAAGAAAAGGCGAGTTGCCAGTTTAAGGAAATAATTAAATGGTAATCATCAAACATAGCTACTTTAGGTAGAGACATGTAAAAGATCATGGGTTTCCTGAGGAAAGGAGAGTTGCCAGTTAAAAGGCATAATGAAATATTATTCATTAAAGATCGCTCCTTTATATAGAGACATATGAAAGATTACACGTGCAACGTATAAAAAACGGCTTTTTTACTATACGATTGTGAAAAAAAAAAAAAAAAACTCTGATACTTCTCTAGTGCTCTCCACATTTCCCCCTTGTTTTCATACCTCGATATACAAAGGCTAAACATTAAGCAATGTTGCAAATGATTTGATGAAAAGAAATGTACACGGATAAAAATGAATGAGTTGTTAAAATCAAACAAAAGCACATCCGAAAAAATCTATCATCGCGATTTATTACTGTGATAGTTTTTGACCACAAATTTTTTTTCTTTTCTTTCTTCTCTCTCCTTTTTTTTTTTCAATAATTTTTACTTTTGTCATTATCATTGTTCGGATTATCATCGTTATCTTACTGTTTACCTTTTTCTCCCTTGATTCCTTGAGGGCCAATACCTCCCTTGATGCCTTGCTTTCCCGGTCCTCCTGGAGGTCCCACAACTCCTCGCGTTCCCTTTTTTCCTCTAATTCCTTTGGGCCCTCTTTTTCCGGGAAGACCACGAGCTCCTATTGGTCCGGGGGACCCTGCCACACAAACCCTGTCTGGACTCTGACAGACATATCCTTTCATAGTCGATCGCACGTATCTCTTGATAGCCGCTCCAAGGTCAGAGAGGCTAATCGATTCATTGCCGTTGACTGTATCCACGCTGCGACGAACAAGTGGAATTTTGTATCGGATGGCTAAAATAAACAAAGTAAAACCATTGACTAACGTTTCCAATATATTTTGGCTGCAATAAATATTGACATATTCTTTGATAATTTTGTAAGAATTGTGAAAATTTCCGCATTCAATCATTGGAGCAGACGACATAATCCGGATCAGGCGAATTAAAAAAATCTAAATACATTTTAAAGCGTGTGTACTCGAGCTCAGATGATTATGGGGTAAAGAACCTTGGATGGTTGACATTGTGCCCTTTAACGAATCTAACGTATTAATGTACGTAATATAAATCTTGTCAGCATTCTAATACAATTTTGCAGTCGGCTTGGCTTTGCTATTCGTTACTTGTTTCGTTATCAAAAATGTAAATGACAATTCTCATGTAACACAAGTGCAAAGTGGTAACACGAGTGCAAAGTTGTAACACGAGTGCAAATTAGAGATAGCGCGCGCACGCTTTCAGATGCTCTACGAGCTAGGGCAATTTTGTTCGTGCTTATTAACGCCAAATTTCACTCGAAATCATTTTATTACCTATACATATAGCGAGTATAGCTACAAGCCTAATTTTTGTCTCTGTAGATAAAAAAAAAATTGAATAAAATTAGTCGCCCATGAATTAAATGCGTGATAGAATTCTTGTGCCTGTAACCTTACTGTTCTTCTATCCAATGTTCAGAAAAAAAACACAGATTCCTTATACTATAATTATAGAAAAGAACATATACACAATAAAGAAAATTTAGGCTAAAAACTAGAAAAATTCAGTGTTAGTTCTCAGTCACCCTACCATTTGATGTGTCAAAGTTTTCGCTCACGCGGGAAGAGGCTGCACTTTCCTTAAGAATGTCTCGGATTTGCTGAATTTGCAGCGAGAATTTTGTGTCAATTGTCCTCAAATCCTGGGAGACAGTTTCTATTCTCGCGAACAGAGCGAAACCCAACACAATTGCAATGACCGATAGCGTAGAAGAGCATATGTAAAACATTTCTCTACGGTCTCTTTTTCCAGTGGTCATTTTTGTATCTCGTACGCTTTTATCCATGGTGAGTTGAGATACAATAATGAAAGGGTAAATTCATGTACAAGTTATTTGAAGCGCCTCAGCGGACCATCTCAATTTGAAAACTTCCCTTCTGGCTTTAGCTTATTTACCTCTTACGTGACCTTAGATATTTACTTCCTCTCTCGTTATATCACGCAAAGTATTCCCACAGGAGCACTTTTTGCTCTGATTACTGTTAAATTCGTAATGTTCGCGCTGTGAGATCATGAAGCATCGCCGAAGATATTGCTGTCTTGAGTGTCCTGTTCTATAGCCGTTTCAATAGCTATTAATTATTATATTTCTTGATTTTGCCTAAAAATTATAATCTTGTACGGGCCCCTTCCAACTGCCCCCCCCCCCTTCCTCTTCATTGGCGAATGATGTTATGATGGAAATACTATCCTATGAACGTGTCTGCTGAAGCGAGTCGGTTGTTTTTGTTATCACAGCTGAATCTGCGGGAAGTCTTTCATACATCAATAACAAGGTCTGCCTTAGCTGTAGCTTACGACATTTCAGTTGACTCGGGAAGAAATCATGTTTAAAACATGACTCAAGATATCACGCACTGCTAGTAAGTTCCAGCAGTGTATCTAGCGCTTCTGGTCGAAGTTTGGTATGCAATTTTGCGTGACCCGATCAAGCAAAAGTACTATTAGACGGCGCTATAATGCTGCCGAAGCATACTATAAAGGTGCCCAGATTAAGTCCAGAATCAAGTGATACTTTTAAGCTGTTAGGGTTATGTTAGTAAACATCTCTCAGGCATCCCTTCACGAGACCCAAGAGGAGAATTAAATGAGCGAGTCATCAAATTTGGTAGGAAGTGACAAAGAAGAATTTTTTTACTTTAATTTTGACAAGTGACCAAGATTTTCTTCCCCTAAATCGAACGAGAAAAATCGCCCACTGCAGTTCTTCGATAGCGTGGTAAAGAAATATTTTTCTCTTTTTAAGACTAAAAAACATCAACTAAATCCCACTAGCGTGTGCGTCATAAAAGGTAAACAAAAACAATAAACAAAAAGAAAGAAACAGACACACTTAAAGGGAGACAGAAAGAGTAACATGACCTATATTTATGTCAAAAGCCTCACATGTATTTCATTAAGAATCATTTCACGCAATTTTATCCCTGAATATCAGCGAAAAACCTCCCGCATTATACTATATAAGTCGACTTTTACCTGTTTTGATTGTGAGACTTTTATGAAATTGAAAATTGTTTGCACGTTTTATAAAATTGAGGTCACCTGGCTTTGCATCTCCTGCTAGTCTGTCTAAGAATATCGCGAAGAGCAAATTTGAACTAAATTTCTGATTTTTATCTCCGGTCACCATTTGGCCGTAAATGAACAAGCTACTTCCTTTTTTTCAGCGAAACCTATGTTCTGATAGGCTTCCAAGGCGGGTAAGGACCGGCTCATCTTGCCTTTTCAGGATTGCCTGCTATGACCCCGCGAAAGAAAAAGAGAAATTGGTGGAGCGAATAACAAAGAACCTAATTTTTGGTAGATTTTTCCAATGGAGTCGAAAAAGTGGCCAAGAAAGTCAAAACAAAGAAAAACGTAAATGACTCTCGTGGGTTTATTGTGCCGATCCTGTTGGCTTTTATTGACCAATATAATCTTGTTCGGTCAAGAAGACCGGATATTAGCCTCGTTCTTTTTGGCCTTTATGGACCTCGATTTCGTCTCGGTCCATTAAAACACAAAAAAAAAAAAAAAAGAAGTCAGCAAACGTCAGGCAATAAAAGGGGTAAGTTTCTAAAGAAACTGTGGTCATTCGCCCTGACGAAGGGCTAACGCTCGAAACGTCAGCTTTGTAAACTCTTCACGGTGGCTAATTTACGTTGTCAACGCAGTTTAAAATTATCCACCCATGTTGATGTCACACTTGGTCAATAACACATATTTTCAGCATAGTGGAATAGAAATTTTGAAAGGTTCAGCTGTTCTTTGGAATATTTAAACGCCGTGAGAAGTACAAAAAACAATGACTATAATTTCTAATGGTGGAGATGAAATCACATGGGTTCTGAATCTTATTTCTCATTTGATACTTTCATGGTTTCTAAATTCTATAACGTTAATGACTGACCCACGAGCCTGAATCATCCCCTAAAGATAAAATAAGTTGGAATTTAGGGACCTTAACAAGCTCTGAAAAATTCCTCATTTCATTAGTAAGGAGAGCATCCTACCGAGTTCCAGAGCAGCTCATTTACAGTTTGAAAAGTCAAGCTCAATTGTTTCAGTTAGTTGTGGCAAAAGTAACAATTGAATTAGCATTTTATGATCTCTTAAAGGGTTCAAGAATCCATTTTACTACTTTGTACTTTAGCTGTTTGCATAGATTTCATATACACCCGTGATTTCCCACCCTTGACACAATGAATAACCTGCAAACTTTCAATGCCATTGTCTTAAAAGAAATAATTTGCGGGTGTAGCTTGTAGACGAGATTTCATTTGAATTTGGCACCGAATCCTTCAGAGTTTAACCAATGTCGCCGTTTTCATCAAATCACCAAACATTTGAACACCTTGTCAGGATTTAAGATGCTTTCGTTTAAAATCCTTAAAATGATTCTGTCCAAATATGAGACTTGAAAGGAAAGAAGCGTAAGCAGTCAAGCTTCAAAATGCGACGTGAACTTTGGTCTGTTCTAATCACTTTTCTTCAATTGATGTCAAGTACCAGCTCAAATTTTCTATCCGTTTCGCAGCATGGTCCTCGTGTACTCATAGGTAAGCTAACAATTTTGTTTCGTACCGTTTTTAATAAGGAATAGTTCAGAAAAAAACAAAACAGTTTTCGTTGAACCATGATTAAAGTCTGTCGAGGAGTTTAAATAATTTACAAATACGCGCTAAAACTGTGGCTTTGTTACGTTTAAAGTGTACTTCCATGAAAAGAACATTAGGTGTTCTTCTTTATAGTTACTTTTGTGTTTAATTTTGTGCGCTGCCATCACCGTATTTGAGTCCATAAAGAGACAACACACGAAACCGCCCCATAAAGAGGGGGCCACTCCCCACTCCTTAGCGGTGCAGGGTCTGAATTTTTAGCAATGATTATTTTTAGTGCCAGACCCTCGGCAAACTTCTCTCCAACTCGTCTCCAATCTCTCCGAGGGTAAGAAACGCGCGTCTTGGAGCGCTAATATTGATAGCCAGCTCCAACATGTCTTTTGATTTGTCGTAGGTCTGATAGACTACAACTTCTATTGCTTCCGTCAAGCCATCAGTGACGTATTTGAGATTTGTTTCATTTATAACTCTTAAAGTGAAAAGATATATCAAAAGACTGAAACAAGAAGAACCACTATGGCCAAGAGATTATAAACAATTTAAAACATCTTGCTATGGCCAATCATAACAAAGGAAAACATCGTTAGCCAATGAGAATTCAGGGTAAAAACAAGCAAACTACCAAAAACGCAGTGACCAAGCCACGGTTAGTTTTCGGTTTACGTCTGATTGGTCTAGAGGAAGGCGCGAGTTTTGTGGACCAATCACAGGGCAAGGTTCAGAACGGTTAAAATGCTGCGCGGAGATAGTTTGTTTCATTTGTTGTGCAAAACATTTTTTCGCTGATGTTTCCTGTTCTTGCAATGGCTCTCTCCGCTCACACCTAAGTTGTTCGTGGCGCGATTTGCGCAAATCTCGGTTTCCATGGCAACATACATGTACAGTGCTTGTAGGCAGTAAACCCAGGTCTCTTTTCACTCATTGCCGGTGAACACTCATCCTCAGTGGCAACGAAAACTGTCGTTGCAATAGTAATTTAAAATTCTCTCTTTGTTTGTTTTGTTTTGTCTTTGTTTTTGTTTTATTTGCTGGTTTTTGTGTTTGTTTGTGTGTCGGTTTTTGGTTTTCAATCCATCAGACGTTGGACACAGTAGGAAGGCAGTTCTTCCCTGTTGAACTTTTCCAAACCTTGACCTTGTATACCATCTGACGTTATGTTCTCGAATTAGTCTTAGTGATCAATTAAATTGTTGAAATTTAGTTTTCCTTTCTTCAGGTGTTTGAAGTCAAACGCCAGATGAGGTCTGTGTCCGATACCTGCTCCCAGTCCCCTTCAGCTGCGTACTCAAACGGTAGCGCAATCCCGGCACTGGATCATGAGAGAAATGACAACGCTGTAGTGGTGTAGTGCAGGCTCAAATATGCTGCTTTGCAATGCATTCAGTAAGAAATAAGGGTCGCTGTAGAGATGATGGTCCCTTACTTTAACAGGCCTTTCATCTCTAGAATATGAAACAGCTTTCGCTGTCAGTTTTTGTCCAGCTAACTGATCGTAGTCCTCAAAATGCTAAAAATTTGATCGTGAACCGTGTCGTGTCTGACGTGGTACTGTATCAGTTGTATACGTGACGCTGTTTTAACTCTCTCTATTTTTATTTTTCTGTTTTGCGTTCTTGTTTGTCAGGATTGCTGTATAGTTTTGCGATTGAGACAGTTTGAAAAGCCAAACAAAACAAAAACATAAGCAACGGAAAAAAAATAATAATAAGATAATATGAAATATGTTTTACAAAAGCAGAGCTTATTTCACTTCCCGATAATTCTTCACTCCCAAAATTTCCATGGTCTCTCCTCCGCAGCTTGAGGAAACCAACGTTACATAACGTTATTAGCGTGAGCTTAGAGCGTAGCGTGACAAGTTCAGAACCGACGATGAGGCGGACCACCTGTTTTGGCAAGGAGTTTTAATATGTAGTAGGCAGTTGTCAGGTGATTTAGTTCTTGAATTGGGCAGGTCTCTCAATTAATGAGAATTGTAAATAAGTAATTAAGAGGACCATGTGTTTCTGAAAAGGAGAAGTTTGATTGGCATTCGATAACAAATCGTTGCAAATAAAGAATAACTCTCCCTCGATTTTTATACAGAGTTTTGCACTTTGAAGCGTCAAAGGATAATAACATCCTTCTACCTCTGTAAATTTTAGACAAAAAAAATAACCCGCATTTTTTCAAGGTTGTCGCATTTTTTATTTTTAAGGGCTACTAATACAATCAAACAGTTTAAA